ATAACATTGTATCGATAAACTGCAACAAAGTTTTTACATCTTAATTGTAGTAGGATGTCTCTGGTCCCGTAAATGACCCCAAAATCTCAAACTTGTGACATATTCATTTTGTACTCATTTATGGCAGCTGGTAGCATCAAGACTCCCTTGCAAATTGGTTGCTTGAAGCTAATGCCGGCATTTTAAGTTGGAGGAGCAAGTCCTTTGCCCATCGATCAAGCTAACTGGCATAGCATCTCAACACATCGCTTTGATGATGAGAAGCAGTTTCACGTGAGCTGTTTCGGGCTATGCCTATGTAAAAAGGGGATCATTGTGAATTGCTGGTGGATATTAGTAGAAGTTCTTTTTTCCTAAGGAGTTTCCGTGGTGATGTTATCACTATCAAGTGGGCTCCCTCACTTACCGCCCCCATGGGACAGCGCACAATCGTTCTGTGTCACTTATCAGTAAAGATTCTATGACAAGAAGTAAACTCAAATACCTTTTAAAAAGGACTTGTACTGAGCTTTTAAAAAGGCAAACAATAGAAAAGAAAGTTTAGATAAGTTGAAAAGTGTTGACACTGTCAGAGAGTGAATAAAAGGCAGACATTTTCTGTGATTCACTATTGTGTTGACAGTAAACAGATTTGGCATATGATACATAGCAATAGTGGCATAATAGCGACGATAATTTACTCAGATGAAAACTGATTGATAAACCGAAAATTTCGGTATGGTAGAAAGGTCTCTGAAGTGGGTCTGCTAATTTACACGCCTTAGGTGAGCTGGCCTCTACAGACCAGCAAAATACATCTTTAAGTAAGTAAAAGACATTTAACTCGTTTACCCACTTTTAACAAGCATTTGTTACCCACTTTTTGAGTAAGAACAACCTTAATAGGGGACAATTTAATCCACTGTCGAGTGGGGCCAACATTTAACCAATCACTGCTTTAACTGTTAAATGTAAGCAGCTCAAATTATTAATTAGCAAGTAATGCCTGCATTTTACTTCGTCTTTAATGTTTCGCTGTCTGTACCGCTATGTAGACTCGTCTCGTTTCCTAAAGGAATGCGTATTAAAATTTTACCCAAGTAATTCCTTTTTATGTGTTTTCCTAAAAGTCGTCTTTGCAGCAGACAGCGTAAACGATGGTGAAATATTAGTTGCTGGACTGTCAGTGTCAGTACAAAAAAATCGATTTACGGAAACTGACCAATCAGCATTGGGCTGCCAAACGAACTTAATCGACACGCATATTAGGCAGGTGAAGTGACACATCCTTGCTGTTTACCTCAGTTGCAAATGGTACTATAGGCACCACTTTTTTACCTCGCCTAATTATTCATTGCATTAGTGTTTTTTAATCCATCTTTTGAGGGGAGTTAACTTAGCAGAGCGAAAAATAGCTCTCAACGAGTCAGCCATCTGTGAGATTGGGTTTTCCGGTTCCCTAGCCTTCATTCACCCGAGTTATTTTTGCAGTATCAAGGAAATACTTCTTTCCGCTTCCTATAAGCTTGTAGGTATAAAAAAGAGCATCAGTTGGAATTTCCAGTCATCGTCAAATCAGCAAAATTGTTAAAAATTGATGAATCTCTTCTCCTGCTTCAAACACTGCTCTACCTTTCCCTCACTGTGATCACGGATATACGTCAAACATGGAGCCTCGTTTGACAGTCGCGGCCTCTTCACTCGAAAATGGAGCGGCATGAGCAAGAGCGCCATGAACTGGACGCTGCCTCATGGCGTCCTCGTTCTGTTGTTGGCAATTAAATGTTATGCCCTCAAGTTTAGATAACGTTTTATGGAAATTGCTAGCAGAACATGATTAAGACTGTGGATTTTTTCGAATGTCTGTGTGAAGAGACAAAATACAAAGGTATAAGTTGGCTTTACAACAAATTGGCGGTCTGTGTTTGAAAAGAGAATTACTTATTTATACGCATCGTGGTCTAAAGTTTTTTGCGTTTAGGTAATAATTTATGCAGCCTACGACCACTACAAACGGTCGTTTGACAGGTTTTTAAAAAAATTCCACTGTGGTTTAAAAAAGGAAGCAGTAAGTAAGTCTTTTCCGTTAGAGCCTCTGCAATGAAAGCATGATAAAGCAACGGTTGGTACTAGGTTCCTTCTATCAGTGATTATAGGGTAAGCTAATCAGAAAATACCTGTAATAATTTGGAATTTTGCTTTTATAATATGCCAATATTGTGGTAACGTTTAGATGGGTTAAGGGGTTTAAAAGTGGTCGTGCGTGTTACTTATTTGCATTTAAGTAGCGACAGATGATTATGAAAAATTAAGAGTACTTGAATATATTAAATTAATGAATTTTTTAAATCACACACAACTTATGTTTAAGCGTGACTATACTACAAAATTTGAGCTCTTAAACACGTTTAGGTAACATGCGTTTGAAGCTACGGAAGGCAGCTGATCTCATAAACAAGAAGAAGGATGGATCCTGCTTTATCGTCACCATTTTCTTGAATTTCAATTATTATTTTAAGTCATCCATAAATTGTTAAGGACAATTTTTGCCTGCCTTCTTACACTTCCAATGCTTTGCAGTAGGAATTGAATGTAGAATCCCACGTTTAAGATGAGTACATCAATGCGATTTGCCGGATATTTGGGCAAAGGCTGAGTTGAAAGGGTTTTACTGTCAAAGACATAAAATAATCAGATTGCTGGTGAGTTTCCCATAATTTTTTAAAGAAGCAAATAACCCATCTCCTGAGAGGGCTTAATCCATATGCAAATTAGTCGTACAGTCGTGTCATCATCTTGCATGTCCCATGTAGCCTAATTAATTCATAGGGAAATTCGGCTAACCCTTCACCTCCCCCACATGGATCAGGATAAGAATTATTATTCCATGAAAAAGTAAAATAGATATTCCCTTGGAAAGCAGTGATCACTTCTTTTTTCACTTTCAGCATTTGTTTTATGGTTACCAACTAGTATAGCATAGCCATTTCGCAGGCAATGTTCACAGACAAATTAGGCAACCAAATGCATGCGCACATACGAAATTATGATAGTTAAGAAGAAGTGGTAATTTTTTTGTCTCTAGAAGAGGGCACGACATTTGGCAAAACTTGTTGACAACATCTGAGGGGCCTAGCCTTAAGAGAACTAGTGGAATGTTGCTGATTAGAGTCGACTACGGCCCCATCCTCTCCTTGGTATGAACGTGCCAGTCCGCCCCAACATTGACTACCTACAACATAAAGAGGGTTCAAAAAACCTTACCCATATGCAAGCTATTGAATTACATATAAATGGTAAACAGTTTTACAATGATCATCTAGTTGTAGGCATCCAGGCAGTGACATTTGTTAGACCCTCCTTCCTTCCACCGCTAGATCCTCCACGTCGCCTATTCGAACGCGTCGAAAGTCAGGCTCTGTTTCCTATGTGGTCAAGCTCAATACGTAACTTTGTTCTTTTCCACAAATGCTGCTTCATTTTGCTTTTGCTTTTACTTCTCCATCTGCACTCATGCACAGTGAGTTGAACGCGTTGCTCCCGCTCACCACATTTCCTTTGCAGAAAGCTGCGGCAAGGCGATCGCAACTGGTGCAGATATTGAGTCTCCAAACACATCTACTCCTCCTCCTTCTCCTCCTCCTCCTCCCCCTCCTCCTCCTCCTGTTGCTGCTGCTACTGCTGCTGTTCTCTCTGGGTGGGTGTACATTCGTTAAGTGTTTGTCCGCATTTAATGACGGTTGGTTGAGTCCGTCCATTGTACAAATGAACCGACATTGCATCTCGTCATTCTGTTGCATTCTATTGTCGGTCTTCTTCTTTACTGTCTCTTGTTGCTACTTCCTGCTGTTCGGCGGGAGGATGAGTGGGCAAGAGAGTGGCGAGTGGGTTGTGTGGGTGGGCAAGGTGACAGTGAGGGTAATGGGGCTTGGGGGTGGGGAGGGGGAAGAGGGAGAGTGAGGC